CTGAGGTTCTCAGGTTTTAGAATATTCAATAAAAAAAAGCTCATTGTTTCCTCCTATCTGAGCTCAGAATCATTTGAGATATAGATGTAGGTGTCAGGCTGAAATAAAAATGTCTATTTTGTGACTGATTGGAAGATGGGACGTCAATGTGCAGGGAAGTTGGGCTTGAAACATTTCACTTTAGAATTAAACTTATGCATAAAAAGCACAGGAAGATCCAGGAATCTTGCAGGCAGCTGAGTGGGATGCCCGCTTGCCTCCTGTGGCAGGTTGGCGCCCAAAGAGGAAGGGGCTGAGCAAAGCATACCCGGGTCCTCCTTCCAGACATTCCAACCAGATGACTGAGGACTATGAAAGGAGTGTGAGAGATGTTAAGAGTATTACTCTGGTAATATCCCTCCACACAGCACCAGGAGGATTGGGAAATGAAAGTGCCTCCAAACTGCAGACACATGTGTGCAGATATACACAGGTGTGTGCAGATATACACAGATGTGTGCAGATATACGCAGGTGTGTGTACATACTCACGGACCAATTCCCAACCAGGCCATGGATACTGACAGTCAGATGTCAGGAGCCAAAGCAACCAGAAAACTAGGGAGAATGAGAACCCAGTGGAAAAGGAAGTCCTAGGACAGAGTCCAGGGAGCCGGAGGTCTGCAGCAGGGCTATGATGTGCATCCAGGGTTGACTCCTCAGGCCTGACCCTGCAGCCCAGAGTGGAGCAGTGGCTGGTGAACAGGGTGAAAGGAATAGGATGGAAAGGAAAACATGGGATGGAAAAAGAAATGGAAGGAAATGCTGAGAAGAGCATCAAGCTGCCATAGAAAGTGTATTTAAGGAATGTTGAATTAGTTTATCTACCCCATGTTCCAAAAAAGAATTTGCAATGGCCAAGATTTGTATGTTAATAGACATTAGACTATGCAATCCGAGAGGGAGTGTGGACATGGAGGTACAAGAGCTGTTGTACAATAACATAAGGCAGAATTTCTGTGTATAAAAGAGAGTGAGCACAGCATTCCCAAGTCATTAGAGGGGCTCTGACTGCCAATTACAGCTTGGAGTAGGGCTCACAGATGCAGGATTGACCCCGCGTTGGAATTATAGATCCCCAACCCCATTTACCTGAAATGAAGAAAATTGCCTTGTTCTAGAGCAGGCCCTGGAGTTCAAGAAAAAGCCCTAAGGTTAAAGACTTTTTTCATGATTTGCTTGGACACCTTGTTATTTAGTTTGAAGTGGCCCTAAGGACTCTTTGGAATGTGGAGGTAGATTAAAAATATATTATTATAATAGCTAACTGGACATCCACTATGGGCCAGGCAGTTTCTGGAGTGCTTTGAGTGTGCCAACTCACTTAATCCTCACAGCCACCCTATGAGGGATGCACTTGTGATGTCTGTGTGCTACAGGTGATGAAACAGACTCCACGAGGCTGAGCAACTCGCTGGAAGTCACACAGTTAGTAGGCAGCAGAGCTGGGATGCAAATCCAGGCAGGCTGGCTCCAGAGCCACACTCTGCATAACTAGTGGGGCAGAAGGAGAGTGCCCTGTCACTAGCCCAGCCTCCCACATGAAAGAAGCAGAACCCCATCAGCCTAGTTCTGAATCCACAACCTGGTCTACACTTAGCTGGGCCTGCACTGTCTCCTGCTGCCAGGCCACAGGGCAGACTTTGCAGGCAAAGGCAAGGCCGTTGGCCCTTCTGATAATCCTCAGAATGTGTGTAGGTAGATTACTCCACAGATTTCTGGGTGTCTGTGCAATCACTTGCTGGTCTCTGATGACACAGGGCAGGGACTGAGGGCCGGGGTAGACCTAATGCAGAATTCCAGGAGACTCAGCACTGTCGGGCAGTTCATTCAGTCAGGCCACAGGTAATTTATGGAGCTCCCACTCTGTGCCCTGGATCCCCTTCCTTTTGTTGGTGTGCTACTCTGTGCAGACGCCCATTACTAGTTTCTTAGGATTTCCTCACCTTTGTGGGTTCAGGCATGTCCATAGCAGCCCCCCCCCATTTCTTTCCTGGCATCCAGCAGCAGCCCAGACTAGATGGGCCCCCACAGACACATGGGGCTCTCTTTGTTCAACAGTGCTTGGAAGCACAAGTGAGCTCTGTATTACTGCCCTTTCGGCAGGGGTGGCTGGAGGGCCTGGAAGCTACTAGCTCCAGCCCTGCAGAGCCACGGGGACCAACCCAAAGCACCAGCCATCAGCTTTGTTCCTCAAGCCTCTGGAGAAAACCTTTGATTTCATGGGGATGATTATTTTTATTCTTGCCCACTCAAGGATGAAGCCCAAGAAACAAGGGGTTGCCCCTTTCAGAGGCATCACAATGGGTTACCTCCAGCCAAACCCACTGTTTTTTTTGTTTTTTGTTATTTCTGGGTTTGGTTGGGCCTCTCTTGGAAACCATTGCTATACAACTTACTTAAAGAAAGAGTGGAGGGGTTGGGTATAAGAGACTCAGACGGGGCTGGGGGGCAGGTGGGGGGGGCGAGGCCAGGAGAGGAGGGCGGCTGGAGGTCTCCGCCTTGGATGGGGGGGGGGGGGCAGGTGGGGGGGGGTCTGGGGCAGAGAGGCCAGAGGTAATGTGTTGTCAGAGACAGTGCAGGAAGAACACATTAAAGTCACAATCTGATTTGAGTCGATTCCATTTTTAATCTTTTGCAAAGTCAAGCTATTTCAAGTTTGACTTTTGGCCAAGCCTGGAGAATTGGGACTTTGGATGAAGGTTTCAGAAAAAGACACAAAACACACACACACACACACACACACACACACACACACACACACACACAGAAAAGGGAAAGGAGAGAAAGGGGAGGGAGACTTTTATCCTAAAGTCATTGTAAATCCAAAGCAGGGTTTTATCCTCCACAGTTAAATGAGAAAGAAAAAAAAATCAAGAATACCAACATTTGAGGTACAAAGACTGTCATGGCCCAGTGGAAGTTTGCAAAATTATATGTAAATGACCAAAGTTTTTACTGTGGTGGCCCTGTGCGTTCCCAAAGCTAATCCCAAAGAGAAAATCTACTTAGCAAAAGAAAGTTTTGTCTAATTTGGTTAACAGTTGAGAAGTGACAAAAATGCTGAATATATTAATAATTTATATTTCCAGGGTAACACTATATCTTTAATGCTTCACTGCCGAAGGGAATTCAGATTGGCTTAATGCTCAGAGGAAGAAAAAAAAAATCCTGAAAGGCCTTCTTCATATTCTGTACCCAGCGCTGATGAAAATGAGTGTAAGACATGTGTTCCTATAATAGGCGCCATCCTCTCTCCCATCTCTGCATAATTTGTTTTTATCCCATATCGCTCAATGTATATCCGTTATCTGGGAAGCTGCCTGCTCTTAACCCACTTCCATGCTCCAACTCCATCAGTTCATAAAAAAAGGAGGCATCTCACATTTTATAGATAAGTAATTTCAAGAACGGCTTACATGCAAAAAACCTTTTATAAAGTTTACAGATTTTCTTTCCCAAAAAATATACATATATAAATTTCACTTCATGGGCAATGTAATGAGGGTTATTTTTTTTTTCTCCCTGTCTCTGTATAATGAAGTTTGATGGTTTACAAACTGCAGGTCACCCCATTCCATGACCTCAGTAAACAGTCTGGGTCAGAGCTCTCTTAAACCCTGTCCAGGGAAATGGAATAAGTTAATTTGCTGTCCTCCAGCTAGTCTGGGAGAAGGCAAATCACCTAGTTCAGCTAAATGGCCTCTGGAATCAATGAGGAAAACGTGCCACATGATTTCAGATTATTTAAGGGGCATCAAAGTTAATCGAAACAAAAGTACAAAGGAAAAAAATCAATAGGGGAAAAAATTTGAATCCCCAGAAACACGTGTTTAGTTTGTTGGATACCTTGCTTATTTTACCTGTTTACATAAAACAATGGGCAGTCTCATTTTGTTGTTTGCTCTTAGAAAAATATGGTTTTAACTTGTTATTGTCAATGAACGTACCGTTATTTTTTGGGCAAGGCACAAATGCACTGAAATCAAGATTCCCTAAAAGATCACTAGCCAAGTCTATTCTAGACTCCAAACTTTCCTCACCACGTTCTGGATGGAGCGAGAAGATTAAAAAAAAAATAAAAAGAAAGAAAGAAAGAAACCGCCTGGAGAAAGGAAGACTTTTCTCTCTTCCAGCCTGAGAGCTTGAACAGAGAACCCAGCATCTCGACCCAGGGCCAGCAAGGGATGATGGAGGCGACGGGGAACAATGTCCCGAGGGAGCGCATCTCCCTACCCTGGCAGCCCAGCACCGCCGAAGCTGGGCTGATCCGTGCGCAAAAGGCAACGCCAGCTTTCCTGAACTCTCCAGCGCCGAGTAGTTGCCATCCGAAGACAGTCAGAAAACTTCCACCGAAGCTGTTTCTAAGCCACACCCCAGAAACGTTACTTGCTTCTCGTATTTTTTACAGGGGCTTGTTAAGGCTGTAAACTCAGCCAGGCTCCAGACTCGGGAGGGTGTGGCCTGCGCGCGCTCCGGGACACCTGCCTCGGGGCAGGAAGGGCTCCCAGGTCCCAGCTGGCTGCACTGCACCGAGGCCCGTTTGGGGCGGTACTTCGATTGCATTTTCAAAGAGCCCAGGGTACTGTTCCTGGCCTCCCCTCTTTCCTAAGGCAAATGCCCAAGATGCCCTCAGGGCGGGTGCGCTCTGCGCTCTGGGGGAGCCACGAATCCCGCCCCCAAGCGACGCCTAGGACGTCTGCTTAAGCCTCCGTCGAGCCTCCCCCTCCCTCAGACTCCGCGGCCGGCCCCCCACCAAATTACGGAGGGCTGTCACTTTTGCCCTTAGTCTCGCGCCCTTGGCGCTTTGGAGGGCATGGGCTGTGGATGAGCAGAAGGTAAAAAAGAAATCCATCTTTTGGAGTCTTTATTAGAAAACGTTTATTGCCGGGGGAGATCCTTCAGAAGACTAACTCGCTCTTGGCCTTCCCACACCTAGTTTCTTGCGGTCACAGTATTTACACCTGTACAATATATACAGTAGCTCTCCTAAGAAGCGCCCAACGCGCAGAGCAATCTGGAGGGCACAAGGGCATCAGAGCACCGGCGGGTGCTGGGGCGTGTGCAGGTTGAGGTTGTTGGGGTGCGCGTGGCCGATCAGGTTGAGGTAATGCCGGTCCAGGCCCTGCACGGGCGCCAGGAAGGGGCTGTGCTGCTGCGCGGGGCTCTGGAGCGGCACTGGCGCGCTGGGCAGGTAGGGCAGCGCCGGGCTGCGGGCCGCGCCGGGAGGCCAGGGGAAAGGTCCGGGGGCCGCGCCCTGCGGGAACACAGCGGCCTCGCCGGGGCTGTGGCCAGCGAACTCGGACCCCGCCGGGTGCAGCTGATAGTTGAAATCGGCCTCCGGGAGCAAAGCCAGCGGCGTGAAGCCGGGCTCCGCGCCCAGGCGGGCCTTGGACTGCAAGAAGGCGAGGATGCGCGCGTACTTGGTGTCCTTGGTCTCCATCCGCTCCACGGTGGTGAGGTAATGCACCAGGTTCTTCATACACTCGTGGTAGCCGTAGTGGAAGTAGTTGGCAAATTCTGCTAGGAGTTCTGCTGGAGGGGCGAGAAAGACCGTAGGAAAGAAAAACCCCGGAGCGCCCCTTTCCCACGGAGAGCCTGAAGGAGGGCGCAGGGCACCTTCCATCACATCTTCTGACCAAAGTTTCTATTTAAGGCCCGCCTTCTCCTCTCGGCAGCCTAGAGACTGGCAAAGCTCGAGCAAACACCCCCTTTACCATGACAGCCTGACCCCACCCACCCCGCCTGAGACGGGGCGACGCAACCAAGAGCCCTAGAAACCAGTCACCACCGCCGCTCGCAGTCTCGCAGACAGGAGCGGCGCTTTGCAGGCCCTGGCCTCCCTCCCCTGCCGCTTCCCCCGGGACACCTCTCCGAACGCCGGGTCCCTGCCCTCCCCAGCCCCTAGGCTCAGCGCGGCGCACGCTCCGAGCGCAGGTTTCCCGCCCGCTAACCCGTGCCCACCTTTTTCCCTTCCCCGGGGAAAGTCAGCCGAGTGCAGGGCTCTCAGGTACTGGACGGTCATCTCAAGGATCTCCGCCTTCTCTAGCTTCCCGGAACTCTGCAAAAGGAGGAAGGGCTCCTTGCAGCGGCCCAGCGGGCTCGGGCCAACGCCCGCAGGCTGGGCGGGCGCCGCATAGCTGGAGAGCACCAGCCAGCAGGGCGCCCCTGCAATCTGCGCCCGCTCGAGCGGCTCCCCGCTTGCTCGGCGCTCAGGCCCCCGGGGAGGGAGGCCCTCAGTAAGGCCCTCCGCGTCCACAGACTGCGGCGTCTCCGCCGAGAGTGGCAGCCGAGGGTTCCCAGCGCCTGGCACCTGGCTCCAGGCTGCCAACGTTACCTGCTTCGCCAGGGCCATGGGCACCGTCTTGCCCAGCTCGTTCAAGCAGCGGTTGATCCGGTCCCTCCTCCGCTTTTCTATCACTTTATGAGAAACGGGGGTTCTCTGCGAACAGAGGTTTGCATGTTTAGGATGGCTGTGCCCGGGGAGTGGTCAAAGGCACGGACGGCTGTAGTAGCTGCGTGCTAACCGTCTTGCCAGACGCCCACTCTGCTCAGAGGTTCGCCCCAGGAAGGGACCCCCGCTCCCCACACTCAGGCCAGTTGAACTCTGCCCTCTCGCGCCCACGCTGGCGCGCTCCCCTTCCAGCCACCCTACCCGCTTGGGCCGCTCCTAGCTGAGCGCCAAGGGCTTTGGGGAGGTGGCCACCAGCCTCCAGGCGTGGGCTTCTGCCCGGTCAAGGACTCTCCTCTGTCTATTCCCAATCCTTTCCCAAGCCACTCGGGATTCCTCTACACGCAAAGTCCCATGTGGCCACGTCTCTGCTGTCCGTCCAGCCAAACGGCTGGTAGGTGAGTCAGACGCCTCTGTCACCAGGGCGCAAGCGCCACTTGGGCTCGGCGGACTCACTTTGCGTTCCTTGAGCTTGTCTGACATCCTGGTCAGTACGCGCCCTCGGGAGAGGCGGTGGCGCGAGGCACCCGTCCACTTTCAGCCTCGTGTGCCTCCTCGAGTGTCCCAGGTAGACTGCAGCCTCCCAACTCCGAGGGGCTGCCTTATAAAGCGGTCATCTAGGGCTCCAAGTGCATTCACGAGTTGAATTATTCCATAGGATTAGGGGAGCTGCGTTTGGAGGATGTATGCATTCAAGATCAGTTTTAAAGAAGTTAAGAAAAAAAATTTAGCTGCCGAGGGGGGCGAGCTGGGGGCAGATCAGCTTTGTTAATCCACGTGGCCCTTCAAAGGACACGTGATCGGCCCGGGAATGACATTTGCATGGCAACTGCCCGGGCGGGAAAGGCGGGCGGCCTACTGCGGCCGGCGGGCGACAGAGCGCCTGCAGCAGTCGCGGGCGCGGCGCGCAGGGGCGCAGCGGCCACGGGCACCGGGGGGCGAGGACCCTCACAAAACAATGTCGCCTCCTTTAGTCCCACCGCTGAGTCTCACACGATCGCCTGTTTACAAATCCCAGCAAGCCCGCCGTCCCAGCGCCGAGTGCGTTTTAAAGCCTGTCCAGAGTCATTAAAGTAATTAAGTAAGCCTTTAATAGGCTGTTCCGCCGGGTTCAAGGGAGAGCTCTTGGAGACGGAGGCGCCCCGTTTGTTCCCAGGCTTTTCTCACACGACTTGGTGACACGTCCTTCTCCCCCCTTTTTGTTTACACCGCTTTATTTGTCCGGACATCCCGGCAGGTGTGGGGCTGCGGCTGGCACACGAAGCTCACGCCTCGCCTCGCCCCTCCCGCCGCTCTTTGGCACGCGACGCTCCCCCCTACCCCCTGACCACGTCGCTGGCTTTCTTTTCTCCCCCCTCCGGCTCTCTCTTCGCGGGGGGAAGAGGCTCAATTTGTAGCCTATTATCCTATACGAAAATGTCCATTGAAAAGTATGAATAGTTTCATTGGGCTAAATTTTAATAATGCCAGAGGGTGGGGGAGGAGAGACAGGCGGGCGGGTGTGTGTGTGAGTGTGTGTGAGGGGGGGTGGGAGGATTGGGGGGCAACACGGAGAAGAGTGGGCCGAGAAGAAAAGGGGGAATGCAGCTGGCCCAGGCGAGCATTATGCGACGTCACCTGCAAGAGGGGGCGCCTACAGACCCCTATTCATTTGCCTAATTTTGGTCAATTTAACAAACTTCAGGAGAAATTATTGTGGCTTTGTCAGGGAGGGTGAAGCCTTCTGATCGAATTAACAGCATGTTTTGATCCGGTAAATGTCATTAGAAAGGGAGAAACAATCGCGCTTAGAGGGCTCTGAGTAATGCGCCCAAGTGGAGACGCCAAAGCGCACGGCTCACAAAGGGAGCAAGTAGCTGCCACAGGGAACTTTTGTACCCGCCCATCGCCCAAGTTTTGACACAAAAAGGCATTATTTCATACTTGAATACGTTTAATCCAACGATTGTCTATTTTCTGCAAACATATTTTCACAGCATTGTTAACTTTTTATGTCCTTCTTTCGCGGGCGCCTTTTCTCAACGTTTGGGGGCGGGAGAGCGCAGACACTTTGGGCATCAATATTTGTCACTGAAAAGGGCCCCGTGAAGTTAGGGAAGTTGATCTCTTTTTTATGGTTTTAGAAAGCGAAAATATCGGGGGAGGAGGAGGGAGGGAAGGCACGAACAGAAACGAGGGAGGAAATTTGCTGGACGGGCCCAAGGAGAAGGAGGGGGGCCGGGCGGCTGGGAACGCTCTTGGCCGCCTGCGCCTCTGCGGGCAGCCGGCCCCGCGGCGGAGGCCTCCTCCCCCACCGCAGGCCTCGCTCGCATTTGCTGCCTTGGCCCCCACATTCTGGGGGCTCCCGGCTTGCGAAGTGTGGGTGGGGGCGTGAGCTTTCTTGAAGATGGAAACGATAAAAACGGATTCTGTTTTATGGCTCTATCTAGAGCCACCGAGCTCTCCCCTTTTTCTAATCTCTGCCGTCTGGGAACAGCTGAAACCTCTCCTTAGATATCTTTCCCTTCTTTTCTGCCCCCCCCCTCCTAAATTCTCTCTACTCTGCTGGACGACGGCAGGACCTGGGCTCTCCCTGTGGGCTATTGTTGGTGCTTGGCAGAGGTGAGTAGGGCGGAGCCCCACTCGCTGGTGGGACGTGGGGAGCTCTAGGGCGCAGAGCCAGGCCTGGGGTGCGGGGCCTCGGGGAAGCCAGCGGCCCACCTGCCGCGGCCCGGGAGGTGCCCTGCACCACGCACCCCTGGGGCGTCCCTCTCGGTCTTGCTTCCAGACTCCTCACGACGACTTTTCTTTTCCACTTCACGCCAGATTGGACACGACCCGCACCCTCCTGCAGGTTGCTCTGCCAGCCGCGGGTGCCCTCTCAGGGGTTGTCGACTTCAGTATATTCACTCGCATACAATGGGATTAAACACGAACCCTTATCATCCAAATTAACTATCGTGAATGGGTAAAAGGGAGCGCGCACACTTCGCACCCCCACCCCCATTTTTAAGCCAGCGGGCTAGGAGTTGATCCTCTTACTGCCGGTGTTAACTGCCAGCTGCAGGCACCTTCCACAGGGCAAATTTCATTCCATGCAAACTGTTTAATTCTCTGGGTTTGATCACGGTGCTGGGCTCAAGGCTTGCCCAGGGCTAAAAGTGCCCGCGAGAGGGTTGTGAGGGTTGGGGGCGCAGTGGGCGAGGGTGCTGCCAGGTGCGCATCCTTGCTGGTCCTTCGTGCCTGCAGCTCCACCTGGGACGCTGGGAACGCCTCTTCTGTTTCAGGTTTGGGAAATGAAGGGTTTCATTTCCCTTCCCATCCCGAAGGCCCCAATCACCCTGCCCGATGGTGGGGCGCCCACAGTCTCTTTCCTTTGCTGCTTCTCCCCGGGGGTGATGAGCAGGTGTTCCCTGAACTTGATCTAGTTTCCAGGAAAAATGAAAGCAAAGTAGTGAAGGGCGGTAGTCACCGGAGCCAGCCAGCAGGTTTAAGTTCCAGCTCCACCGCCTACCTACCCGGCAAGACTTTTTTTAGGCAAGTTACCAAATCCACGGTGCCTCAGTTTTCTCATCTATAAAATGGAAGTAATCATGTGCCTGCTATGTTACCTGGTGTTCACGTAAGTAAAATAAATACAGACAGAGGCACCTAAAAGAAAGCTTGACCACTCAATTAGTGGTTTTATTTTGCCTGCAAACCCCTTCTTCGGTGGCTCTCATGTTTTAGCAGGGTATTGTGGAGTTTGCACTGTAAATATGATTTTTAAATTAGTTTCATATTTTTTTCTCATCCACGAGAAAGCTTTACCCTAGCTGAAAAAGCCACAGTAATTTCTCCTGAAAGTTTGTTAAAGTGACCAAATTAGGCAAGTGAATGGGGGCTTTGGGGTGTCCCTTCTCACAGGTGACATCACCTGGCGCTTGCCGGCCAGCAGTGTTCTCCCAGCACGTGTGAGGCTGAAAGGGGCCCAAGGCGGAGAAGCGCCTCCACGTCACAGCATTCTCAAGTGACTCAAACGTTATCATCCACATTAAAACCCAGCTAGGAGGTAAGACTACTTAGAAATTAGACAATGCTAATTAAACATTGCTCTGCATGCAGCCTCCTGGCTGCTAAAGGCCTCTATTGAAGAATACAGCAGTCACGAGCTGAATGTGTTTATTATCGTTATTTCTACTGCTATTTCTTTAGCTCCATGGGTTTGACGTGTATCTTCCAGACACTGAAAGATGGTTTCTTGCGTGTGTCTTTCCAAGTTTTAGCAACTGAGGGTTTGTGGGTATGGGAGGGGGAGGAGGGAACATGAGTGCAAAGAAAAGAATACAGTGATTTCAGCCCAGTTGCTCTAGGACGAAGGGTTCTGGATGACCTCAAATCCCTCCCCGCACCCCGACGTCCAACACACAGAGCAGGTGTCCTGGGCCCGTGGGCAGCACTGGGACCTCAACCAAGTGAGGACACGTGAGTGAGGAGTGTCGTCAGACTGTGGCTGGCCTGCAGGACTTCCCAGGTCCAGGAAGACCTGAAGGGAACCACATACCTGGCCCATTGCAAAGTGATTAGGGTCCCAGGCCGCTCCTTCTGAAAGGAACCCCGAGAGCACTGACCCCAACACCCCACTTCATGGTGGAGGAGCCCGAGGAGCCATGAGGAGCCTGCGACTGCCCCCTGGCACACAGCCAGCCGCCATGCAAAGCCTCTCACCAAGTGTTTGTTGACATGCGACCTCCAGGGTCCATGGCCTGGCTCACTGCTCTGTTGCTGTGAAGGAGGGTCCAGTCAGACCCTGAGGTTTAGGGCAGGCAGGCATTCTGTGGGTCACCTGTGGCCCTTGGCATGTGTGGTCATTGCCAAGAGGCATCAGCTGTGTCCTTGTGCCTCCTTCCCCCTGCTCATCCCCTCCCCGGGTCCAGTAATGACAGCATGTTGTGAGCATCCATAGTGACCAGCACTGGCAATACTAAGCAGACGTGGCCCTGCCTTCCACAGACTTGTCTTCTAACAAAGAAGAAAATATCCATACTGATGGCCCCACTGTAGTGGCCTCCACACGACAGTCACTCTCAGTGCCCATGATAGCAGTTGTGGGTGGCAGTGTGATCCTGTTGGGTTGGCAACTTCTCTGGACTTTTCCTTACCCAGCACCCCAATTCCTGTGCTCCCTCTGGTCACCAACAGTGTTCTCAACCCAACAATGTCACCGAAAGGAAGCATCTGCCGGGAGGTGCTTGTCAGTGCAGTCAGGTGACCGTGAGAGGGGTTTGGGGATAAATGGCAAACTCTCCAACCATGAAGACACACACTGAAGGTGAACCCCAAACCCGAAGGAAACCCAGGACATGGGAGACCTGTATCCATGATAAGGTGATTTCCCCAGGCGTTCATTCTTATTCCCTTTGTTCTGGTCTGGGAAGCAGCTGAGTTCTTTGCTGTCTAGCTCTGTCTTTAGGTTTAGCACCTGACGGGTTTTGCTCAGCGAGGCAGCAGCACTGAAACCACAGTGGTCCATCAGCACCACAACTGTCCAACGGGCCAGCTGCCTTCCGTTTCTCTACCTTACGGGGAAGGCTTGAAAACATCACACGCAT